TACAAGGACCCGCTCTGCTAAGAATGTTGTCAAAATGTTTGGTTTCGCTCCTAATAGCGCCATCAAAGCGTCCGTTCACGATCAGCTTGATGTCGACGGGCTTCCATTTGTTGGGCGCTTGGTCCGAGAGGGCGAGGTTCTCTGCGCATGGCATACTGTCTCGGCCGACTATAACGGGCAGCTGATCAACCGGGATGGTATCACGCACTTTGAGAAATACAAAGACTCGGAAGATGCATTTATCGAGGAGGTGCGGGTGATTGGATCCGACACTGGCACTGAGCCACTCCAGGTCATATCTATCAAGCTGCGCATTCCTCGATCGCCCGTCATCGGTGACAAGTTCTCGTCTCGTCACGGGCAGAAGGGTGTCTGTTCGCAGAAATGGCCTGCCGTAGACATGCCCTTCTCCGAGTCTGGAATCGTACCTGATGTCATCATCAACCCGCACGCTTTCCCGTCGCGAATGACAATCGGTATGTTTATCGAGTCACTGGCGGGCAAGTCTGGTGCTCTGCACGGCCTTGCTCAGGACTCGACGCCATTCAAGTTTGACGAAGAGCATACAGCAGGTGACTACTTTGGTCACCAGCTGATGAAAGCGGGCTACAACTACCATGGTAACGAGCCAATGTACTCGGGTATCACGGGTGAGGAGTTCAATGTCGATATTTACATCGGTGTTGTCTACTACCAGAGACTCCGTCACATGGTGAACGACAAGTACCAGGTCCGAACAACGGGACCTGTTGTTCCGACGACTGGTCAGCCGATCAAGGGTCGTAAAAAGGGTGGTGGTATTCGTGTGGGAGAAATGGAACGCGACGCCCTGCTAGCACACGGAACGGCCTTCCTCCTTCAGGATCGCCTTCTGAACTGTTCGGATTATTCCAAATCGTGGATCTGCCGTGACTGCGGGTCTTTTCTGGCGGTGCAGCCAACAGTATCTCCGTTCATTGGAAAGAGGAAGGCAGTCAACACTGTTAGGTGTCGCAACTGCGCAAGCCGGTTGGACGAGATGGAGGATCTGGATTTGATGAGACTGGACGGCGAGATCTGGGAGGATGGGCAAGGTGTGCAGTGGATTGGAGGTGAGAACACTACTATCGTGGTTGTTCCAGGCGCGTTGAAATTCCTTGATGTGGAGCTTGCCGCGATGGGAGTAAAGCTCAAGTACAGGGTGGACAAGAGGGACGCGATGCTCAGAGGGCCGCTGAGGCAAACAGCGTTCAAGCCTCTGCAAAACGGACTGACGGCTGCTTGATAGCGGAGCGCAGATCTGATGATTACATTATTGTTGAAGAAGATGTAGATAAATATCAAATGCATTATGTCAAAAGCTGCCTGTTTTGGTGATTTGAGCTGCCCAAGGCAGGGGCGTCTTGCCCTGATGGCGTTCCAAGTGCAAAGCAGCCATGATACCTGGTCCGAGACGGTGTGACAGGCAGGACTCTCACAACTCAAATCACGAAATCGGCACCGAAGCAACACCTACCAAGCCCACCCCGAGCCAGTCCAGTGCCTGGTCGACACTGACTCAGAGCGTCGGTGTAACGCGAGGGAGATGATTCAAGGCCATGTCAAGGGCCGACCCTGACACCGAAACACTTTCTATGCCGACGGCTAGCTGCTGTGACGCTCTATATCATGCAGTCGACCGCCTTCCCAGCTGGTGTTGTCTCGATTTCTTTTTTGCCAGCAATGTCGGATCGGCTCACACAGTTGACTCGACGGCAAATAACAGCTGGCAACCTAGATCCATCGTTTGCTTCTGTCTCTTCTTCGGGTTACCAGGGAAGGCGTAATGAGGCAAACACCGCTCTTTCCCAGCCAGGAAACCGAACCACCCCGGGCCATCCCATAAATCAGGCCCCCTAAAAAGTAGAAGTTTCTCGTGGGCACTGACCTGGCCCTCTTCCCAATCCTTTCCTTGTACAGTCTGTTCGTTCCTCTAGACCTACTCGCTGGCTGACATACACGCGGCTTCTTGGGTCAACTTTCTCATGTTTAACCTGATCTGATACTCTCTTTGATACTACCCCCCCACCCCCCTCCCCCCACTGTCCTCCGCCCACCGGTCTCCTTCGCTTTTGCTACCATCTGCCGCCCGAGTCCCCCCATCCTCCGCACATTGCGTTACCTAATTCGGGTTGCTCTCGATTGCTTGATTTTGCCACTCGCCTCGACGGCCTTTCGTCGGATGAACTGAGCAAGGGGGGACGTCCAGCGCAACCGGCGAGCGGCATGGCGCCCTTTGGGTTCTCTGCCCTCATGCTTGCCCTCTTGGCGTGCTCCGTACTGGGTCAACACACCTCCTACGACTATGGGTTTGATGTTACCAAGCATGCCAAACGCGCGATCGCGACACCGCTGGTAGTGAGGGGGGAAATCGGCGGAGATATCCAACTGAGGCAAGAGATACGACAACTGGAACAGGACCCTGACTTGTGGACGCTTTACATCTTGGGGCTTAGTTTGTTGCAGTTTACCGATCAGTCGTCGCCCACTTCATGGTACAGCCTCACAGGTTTGCTTGGCCCACCACACCCCTCCTTACTCGACGGCGGTAGTAGCTGATTGGGTTGAAGGGATACACGGGATACCTCACCAGACCTGGGGCGGCGTGGGACCAACCCCCGGAAACGAGGGCACGGGTTACTGCACCCACTCCTCAATCCTCTTCCCGACGTGGCATCGGCCCTATCTCGTCCTCTATGAGGTACCACAAAACTCTCCCTTTTATAGCATGACACGTATTCGGAAATGCCATGTACTCGTCTCCACGCTGCTGACTTCCCCTCTAGCAAGTGCTTTACACTCTTATCCAAACGATTGCAACTTGGTGGCCTGAAGGTGAAGAGAGGGACCGCTATCAGACAGCCGCCACCAGATTTCGAATTCCATACTGGGATTGGGCTGCTTCTCCGCCATCAGGGGAAAGTGTACTCCCATTGAGCGTTGGGGGAAGCCCATATGTCGACATTGACGGCCCAAGTGGCGTGCAACGGATTGCAAATCCATTGTTCAGCTACACGTTCAAGCCCCTGAATGCCACGGCGTTCCTACAGCCTCCCGTAAGTGTAACGGTCATATCCGGGCCTGAGCCGGCTTACAGAACTGAGTCAGTGGAACATTTGGACTGCCACAATTCGTAGTCCAACGACGAACGATGCCAGGGCGCAGTCCAACAACTCACTCGTCGCCATGAACTTTGACCAGAACCTGGCATCCCTCAGCCAGCGTCTCTACATTCTCTTCTCGAACTATGGAAACTACAGTACCTTCAGTAACAATGCTTGGATCCCGCTGATCAGCAATGCGTCGTACGACTCCCTCGAATCACTGCACGACACGGTGCATAACCTTGCCGGCGGCGGTGGGTTAGGGCAACCTAACGTTCAAGGAGGCCACATGTCTTACATACCCTACTCTGCTTTTGATCCCATCTTCTTCTTACATCATTGTATGGTGGACCGCATATTTGCTATTTGGCAGGAGTTAAACCCTGAAACTTGGGTTATCCCGCAGGTTGCGGCTCTGCCGTCGTACACCACAAGCAAAGGCCAGGTTCAAGACTCACGTACAGCTTTGACTCCATTCTACGCTGGTAGCGATGGCACTTTCTGGACATCAGACACGGTGCGTGACCATACTCGCTTTGGATACACTTACGCCGAACTGGCGAGCGGGCCAAACAAGAGCAGACGAGCGCGAGCAAATGTCAGGATAGCCATCAACCGTCTGTACGGGACCTCAAGCCTGGCGAGTCTGTTCATAAAAGAGAACAAGGCCCTCGGCCTCGACCAAGACCGTCAAAGCAAACCTGGAGACAGAAAAGGGAGAGTAAAGCTGCCCCAGCCTGACTCTCCTCCTGCGGGACGCCTCAACGATGCCGTCTTTGCTGGCGGTTCTTACCGCGAGTGGATCGCCAATATCCGCGTCGGGAAAAAGGCTCTCCCCGAACCATTTGCCGTGCACCTATTTCTAGGTGACGCACCTGCAGACCCGAGAGACTGGACTCTTGCCCGAAACCATGTCGGTACGATGGGGGTATTCTCAATGCTGTCAAATGACGCATACGGCATGGCAATGGATAAGTTGGACGTGTCGGGGACGGTGCCCCTGACGACAGCATTACTTACTCGAATGGGCAATGGAGAACTAGCCAGTCTGAAGCCGGCGGATGTTGAAAAGTACCTTAAAAGTGCTAAGGGGCTACAAATGAGGGTCGTCGGGAGTAGTGGTAGCGGGTATGACCCCAAGAGGGTGAAGGGGTTAGGAATGTCGATTGTAAGTTCGGTTGTCCAAGCTCCGAGGACAGAGGAAGAGCTGCCCGTGTGGGGGACGGTGGTGACGCATTTTGAGATGGGCTGAGTGGTCTTTGGAAGTTGGGTCTGTGGTTGGACTGGGGGCTGGAGACAGGAGACGGGATGGGTGGGTTTGGGTGAGGATCTTTGCATGCGACGATTTTGTTTTGCTTTACTTGGCTGGCGGTGACTGTCGAGAGGGAGAGAGCCGGAGCTAGGTGGTTATTTTGATTTCATGCGGCTGGGTTGCTAACCTGTAGTTTATCCTATGTTCTTAGCTTTTTGGAGGTCAAAAATGGCATGGAGGAGGATGGTTTTATGTTGATATGAGGATGGAGGTAATGTAATCATGGGCACACCGATTTTCAAACGCTCCATACACCAGTTCCCGTGATATCTGTTGCTATGGGCTCTGTTGGTGAAAGGGGCACTCCTTGGAGGTAAACGGGCTTCGAATGTGCTACGATTAAAGATCGATATCCTGCGCATCGAGTATAATGTTTTCTATTCAATGGATCAGGGTCAACCAATCGCTATCGGGAAGGGTTATTTGACCCCTATCTTTTATTTACCACCCCCTGTCCGCTACCCAGCAACCCAACAAAGTGGGACACGCCAAAACCCATCGGTCTGACCAACACCACTCCCGAAACCAATCGATACCGCACCTATCTCCATCAACAAACTTAACAAGGGCCGCTGGTCTAGTGGTATGATTCTCGCATAGAGTAATACCCTATAGCAATGCTTGCGAGAGGTCCCGGGTTCAATCCCGGTGGCCCCTTCTTTTTGTTGCGGGGCCCGGCAACCTCCGGTGAGGAATGCGTGCCAAGACGGCACCTTGCTAGATACAATCACAGCGTCATTTTGAAACTCTTAAACATGGCACACTGACACATGAATATATCACTGGGAAGGTTGCTGCAAGATGGAAGCCAGTTTGTTGCGAATCCTGTCTATGTTCCACCCGACCACTCCGCGCTCCCACGCCATGTGAAGAATCAATGAAACTCAACCATCAAACACCTGACAGCCCCGTCCGGCCAACCCCGAAACACCACTGATGGGTACAATGCGCTAAACATTAAATGAGGACGCCCAAGAAGTTGAGCGGGGATGATTCTTCCTCTATCGCTCCTCTCTTCTGATTTCTGTTTTAGTCCGAACCTCAGCATCCCAAACCATTCCATCCCGGCCCCGACCTACGTGCGTGTGAGTTTGGTATCCGAGTGTATGCGTATCGTATGCCGATGTGTGATTGGAAAGAAGCGAGGGAAAAGGAAATACCTAAATGATGCCCCATGTCCAAGTGAAAAAAAAAAAGCCACAAAGCAAAACAGGGCCGTGTATATACAAATCGCTGCGCTCCAAATACACAGTAGCCCAGACGAAAAAAGGGATACCGGTCTACTCGGGCGGGATCAGCTCCTTGGGCAAGTCCCCTCGCCCATTTGACGCCCGGCTCGAGCTGCTACCAATCACCGTTTGGCTATCTCCATCTACGTCAGGGTCGTACTCGCCGTCCTTGGGCGGCGCCGTGTCCCTCCTAGCTAAGCGCACATGGCCGCCTCGAAGTTGCTTATGAGACTCGGCGTCTTCATCGTCGCTCGCTTCGTTCTCCGATATTGACAGCTCCTCGTACACCACCGTCTCGCCCGGTACGGAACTGTCTTCGGATAGGTCGCTGCCGTCGGCGCTTGTGTCTTGCTTCTTGATGTAGGAGTCGATGATATAGTACTGCATCGCGTTCATGATGAGAGGAAACAGCATCATGACAAAAACAATTTGCAGCTCCTCGTTGCCCTCGGTCCAGCCCAGTGCCCAGTCGCCAACATGAGAGATCCAGGGGAACATCATGAAGAGCACCAGGACGCAGAACTTCATTCCCATCAGGCCGCAAAAGTAAATGACGCTCTGCTTGAGCCACCACCACGCATTGGGTGGGGTGCCGTAGTTGCCGCTTTGAATTGACTCAGGCGGCTGTCCCAGCGGGGTATACGCCACGAGTTTTGTTGTCATTCGTACAATGATGATAAGCACGGGGATGCCGAGCGTGGTCTTGTCGCACTGTCAGTTACACACACTCAGTCTCTCACGGGAGGAAGAAAACTCACATCAATCGCCAGGTTCAACAAATAAAACGAGCACGGATTCGGCACATATACGTCCTCCCTCCCTCCCAGCCCCAAACCCCGGCTAATTACGGTCGCGACCGTGGCCGGGTCTACCTTAATGCTGAACCGGCCGCTCGTCAGCAGCGACATGAAGACATTGGCCATGTGAACCAGCACGCTGCCGAACACCTGCTTGGACACGTCAAAGAACCAGATCTTGACGGGCCGCTGCGGCCGCTCCCTCCAGCGCTTATAGACTAGAGCCAGGAGCGCGAGCGCCCCAAGAGCCAGCTGAACCAGGATTGCAAAGGACCCGAGCAGCCGACACTCGGTCGGCTTGTCCGCGTGGGGCGAGCCCGTGGCCGTGGCGGCGGCAGCCGGGAGTTGTGATAGTGTTGGCGAGGGCGTCATGGTGACTGATATGATCTGGTCGTTATCGGTTGCGGGTGCCGGGGTGGTGGTGCTGGCGGGGGCGGCCTCGATATCCTTATCGTCTGATGATGTGGGACGGTCGATCTCGACCTCGTCGGCGCGGGGCGGTAGACGGTTGAGGTGGAAGTGGTGGTGAGACGGCAAGCTTGTTGCTACCGCTGCGAGTGACGTGGGCACGGCGGCATTTCGAGCAAGGGCGGCAAGAGCAAGTGATGCAAGGCCAGGCTGAAGCAGCATTTACAGGCTATGACGGCCTCAACTGGAAAGGGCGGGTTGGTTCCCTTTGCGTGCGGTTTGGGCTTCCTCCTCCTCCTCTCTCTCTCCCTATTGGTCTGTATTCGATCGGCCAAATGGTAACAGTCAAACAATTGGCGATATCAAAGGGGGTGCGCGGACTCGTTCTTGGTTTCAGCTGACAGTGAAACAGTGGAACGGTGCGTGGAAGTAGATGTTTCGCGCAGAAGCTATGGGTGCTAGTGCCAATGTCGCTGTCGCGGTGATGTAATGAAGTGCGGCGTTTTGCCTGAAGGAGGGAAAGAAAAAGAGGAACAAACAAAATCGAACAATGTGGACAATGGTAAAGAAGAAACACGGAGGGGTGGTGCCTAGAATGTGTCGTTCTGCATTTCTGGAACCTGGAGCGAGTCTGGGCACGAGATGCCTCTAGAGGAAGAAGTGGAGGCGCAGAGAGGCAGACGATGCGCGGAGCATTGCATGCAGCCGAGAGGGCGCTGAGACACTTCCGATTGGCCGCCAGCCGTCAAAATCCCTGCCAGTTGTCTTGCAGCCGCTTGACGGTTCTGCCCCCCCGCCCGCGGATCAACTGCTGGAAGCCCAGATCTCCAGTGGAGTCCAATACGCTAAGCAATACCCGGGAATTGGACCTTGACGGACTGCCAGACCGCCCACAATTTAGTCTAATTGTCGTTCAAATGAAGCATATGGTTCAGCCAGTCCGGCTTCCGTTCCACGAAAAGTCGCCCGTCCGCGGGTATTGCTACATCCCGCGGTTTGATAGGACAGCTTGATGCCAGTACTACCACGCGCAAATAAGAAAAAAGAGACTTGTAGGTACTGGCACGTAGTATCATCTAGGATAGTAGCGCACTATCTCATCCGCCTTCGTATCTGTGGATGGCGGGAGAGAGGCTGGGGAGCGTTACGCCTACGACTACCGTCGGCTACCAGGCATACACGGTTCTAGTAGGTACTTCACGTGCCAGCACACAGAAAGTATACAGCTTTCAAGTACGCACTGCAGATGACATAATGCACCATGCCAGGGTGTCAACATCAATACTATTGCCTCCCCAATAGCAAAACCGCCATGCTGGCTGTCTGTCGTGGTCAATCCCCACGCGATGCCGCATAGAAGCCATCACGTCGACTGCTGAATTATGTTCAGCACTGCCCAGCCCATGCTGTGAAAAATCAAAGTCCATCAATCCCACAAACCCCGCAAAACCCCGTCCCTCCAGAACCGCAAACCGGAGGGAACCCATAAAAATCCCTTAAAAAACGAGCAAAATCTTGTCGCAGTAATATCGTGAGTGGAGAAAGAGGGCAGGTCCAGCCACAGCTGCTGAGTCCCGCTTGGTGTGTTGTATGTGCCATGGGACGCCGTCACTGATACCGGCTTGGTATCCGTAATGTCGTCAGGCGCACTCGGGTACCGTGGGAAGTAGCTTACGCACGAAGTGAGGAACGTGGCTCCTGTGGCCTCGTGCGGGCGCGGACTTCTTTGGCCCCCCCCTCGTAAGCATCGGTTTCGGTTTTGGCGCTTTGGCCGAAGCCGCCTTTTGCTTGGAGGGGGAGGTTGGTGTCGAAAGAGACGGGCCTCCAGACGGTCGGGGTTGTCTCTGAAGGCTGTCCGTAGGCCCGTCTAACTGTCAATCGATACCGTGCTGCTTCTTGAGGCGTTCTAAGTTCTCCTTGCGCGCCTCCAAATCCTCTTTTGACCGGGCCATCTTCTCGGGCTGATGATAGAGCACTGCACGACACGCCGTTAGCTCCTGAGAGATATGTAGGCTAGCGGGGGAGGTCACCTACCAACAAGGTAACGGTTCTGGAAGTTGTAGCCGTTTAGCTTGTCGCAGGCCTGCTTGGCATCCATTACATCCTCATAGACGACGAAGGCAGTGCCCTTGGTGTTGTTCGCGATGCCCTGTCGGACCTGACTGTATGGGGTGTCAACACGCGTGCAGAAAAGGAAAGGGCGAGGGGAAGGCATACCGGATAGGTCCGTACTTTCCGAAGAGGTCGAACAGCTCCTCTGGAGTCACGCTGTAGCTTAGATTCTTTACGAACAAAGCTCTGTCCATTTTTATTGCTATGGTCAGCCAAGAGATTCGTGCTACCGCGAGGCGGGTTGAGCGTGATAGGTGGGTGTGATGGGAGAAGCGGCAGGGTCTTGGACCGATGGTGGAGCACGGATGCGAATGCAGCGCTGGCAGGAAAATGGCAAGACTTACCGATTTACCTCCGGGCCAAGTTTGTTGGCGCGACTCATATCTCGATATCGATATCGGGGATGGACGACACAGTTCTCTCAATAAGGAGGTCGTCGATGGGGAGTGAGTGGTGGGTGTGTGAAATATCGAGTCTTTGAGGCTCAAGCGAGGCGAACGGGTTGACGCGGGAGTGATGAGGAGAAATATCGAAGTTGGGAGTTCAGGTGGGTGGGGCACGGTCGCTTTCAGCAGCGTGGGCCTTTCCCCCACGTGATGCAGTGTATGTCTCCAATGCGAATCCTCTCAATCTGTCACGCAAGACAACGCAAGAGCGAACCAGAAAAAAGCACAAAAGAGCACACGACAAGTTCACGTTATTTGTGGATTGGATGACACAACATACATATCCCGACTTCCCGTCCGGTCCGGCGCCGCTTAGTCCCCGCCGCTGGTGTCCTTGGGAAGCCGACAATGCATCCCATCCGTTCGAGATGCCGGGCGGTTCAATTTTCTCAACGCCCCGAGGCCTCAAGTCCCCTTTGCAAATTCTGTGTTAATATCTCATTTCTCATATTACACCCCTTTGCCCAGTGTGCCCCCTTCGAGATGTGATTGGATAAATAGCTCAATAAGTGGCATACCGCAGACACCTTCGCTGGCTAGGCAGTTGGTTCCCCTTGCAACCTGCTGCCGCTTTGGTCTCCTTGCAGCATTGGATCGATGCACCATCGCTTCGCTGGTCGCTTTCGTAGCAGCCCTCGACGTGTGTGTGTGTGCTAGGCTTGGA